ACCTTGCGTCAATGTGTGTTGCTCTACTTTTTTGCTTTACTAAGCCACGATTGAGAATTCATTTAATTTAGATAATTCATGAATAGCAAAGAAATGGCTTCGATGATATTAAGAATGATTTAAAAAAACAACGTAGCCGTCGTATTTGAACAGATTTGTTAGAGTTAAGTCGTGAAATAAGGGGATAAATCTGAATACGGCAAAGTGCAGATAACTCGGAAAATGTAGATTTTAACATCATTTTCAACAGTGAACAGATCGTTTATTTCTTTCTACTGTCTATTTTTTTTTGTTTCTTTTAAATTTCTAAACTTTTAATCGACAAGCACATTCTTCAAGTGAAAAGAGATGACATGATTTCTACTTCAAAAAATGATAAAGTAGAATTTCTAACCAAAAAACGCAGATATTTGCCATGAACGAGATAAATATCTGTGGCCAATATAAAACTATTCGAAAACAGATTTTTTTTTTGTTATTAAGAGTTCGACAGATTTAGCTGAAATTTCTCATTTGATAATTGCCTTTTTGGTTTTCAAGTGACGGAAATTATGCAAAATTCTTATTCAAGATTTGTTTGTGGTTTAGAAGCTGCAATTTCAATGGCTGAAAATGGGAAAAAGAAAGAAGATGCAAAAATAAAACATGTTGAAGTATTCAATAAATAGATAAATATCATAAGATATAGGATTTTACTATATAATTCTGTATTTTAAAAATAAATTCATATTAATCAAATAAAATTATATTTTTTCGATAAAATAAATCGGTGTGGCACAAGGCAGAAAATCGTCACGCGAGAAGGATTTTTACTTTTACTCTCCTTTTATTAACAGATTCGCATGTACTGGTATAATCTCTTCATTTTCTTTCTATCATAACGTTGCATTTATTGTCACCAAATCTTCCATTTTCTATAAAATCATATTTATTTTTTTTTTCTTGAATGTTAATTTTATATTTACATTCGCTCTATCCCTGATAATGACTACTTTAACCGATAAATATGGCATACCTTAATTTTATTATTATATATATATATATATATATATATATATATATATATATATATATATATATATATATATATATATAAAAAGGTAAAAGACAATATGGAAGCTGTATTGTTAGCCGACTTGTTTCTTCCAATGTGGACTTTTTCCCGTGTAGAAATTTTGTTTTTATTGATGTGTGCTGACGGATTCAACAATTTTCTTTAGATTTCTTGATATAGTTGCTGCGTATGTTGACTTGGGAGAGTAGTAATTCTGTTAGTAATGGTGAATTTGGGAAGAAACCTTGCCGTACGTTAATATTTGGATATATTCAATGGCGGCATAATTACAAAATTTCTACACGTGAACGGACTCAACGTATTTTTCAATTGACAATATGAATACAATAGCCTTTTTTATAAATTCTTTTAGTTGCTAAGGACATTTTGTTTGTTGTTAATTGTTACATTGTTTTCAATATATTCATTTCGTTTTTACCTTGACAAAATCCACATTAGAGGAAATGAGTCGGCTAATAATACTGTTTTCCTATTGTCTTTTACCTTTATACATATTGTCTTTTACCTTTATACATATTGTCTTTTTCCTACAAGTCAACTCTGAGAAATTTTCCATACATACATATATATATATATATATATATATATATATATATATATATATATATATAATCACTTGTTCGGAAATTATAATCTAAAAATGTTATAAAATCACTACAAAAATAGCCATTTTGTTTCAACACTTCTGGTGTCTTCCCATTTGATGGTGTTGAATGTCTATTCTATGAATATTCTGTATACACCAATCCTATAATTGGATATATAAATATATGGCAGTATTTTACTCGCAAATCTGTATAGAAAAAAAAAACTGTTCCAAAATATTGAAAGATAATTGAATAATAATAATAATAATAAAGTCAAATATTTTTCTTCATCAGATAGTTTTACCATCTCTCAACAAATGTGGCTGGGCGAGGAAAGATCAACAACGGAAATGTGAGAATCTATAAAATAAAAATAATGTTACCCTTTAAGCAGAAATGTCCAAATTAAGGTAAAATAGCTTCAACAAAGATAAATTACTGGTCTGGAATAATGAGATTTTCACAGAAGTTTCAAATCCATGATGAGCCACTTCACGAAGATATTCTGTAAATTCCTTTAGCATTGTACAGTATTCCACCTTTCGCAAAAATAGTTGACGGTAATAATTGCATCGATCTAATAAAAAACCTCTACTGGTCTACAATATCATACATATTTGGTGAGTACCCCAATAGGCAAACATTTCAATCTTTTTAATAGGAAATGAGAGGTCCAGTCTATTTCATCTCTACCTGGACTATACGCTTCTTATATAAAGCGGAAATGTGAAGAGCGGAACAGAGATCATGTAAATATACTATATAATAAGCAGATATATTAATAGAAAACAGCGGTCTTGTATTCCCACTCGAAGACAAAATACTAGCGATGAGCGGAGCTCTACCGACGACATAGTCATTAAAATGGGAAAATGATCTTTAACAAACAATCGACACCCACTACCATTGCCTTCCACGAAATATGACTTAAAACTTTACACATCAGAAACTGATGTGGAACTGGAAATAAAACAATGTTGCCACCTATACAGAACCCATAATAAAAATGCATGGTCTGGAATTAGTATTCACTATTCAATATTTTCAGTATCACGGTGTATGGATCATTTATAATAAATTCTGTACAGTAGATAAAGAAAATTAATATAGAATTGTTTGCATTAGATGAGGTTTCAATCAACAGTCCCCCAAAAAAGCAACGAACTCGAGTCTTGTTCTGAAGTAGCTCGTCTAATCGAGACTTCCATATGGATGTCATGCATTGCTCCAATATTTTCAGAAATATCTAAACTGTCAGTTGTATTCAACCGCTCTGAGAGATCAAAGATTAAAATTATATGCATCGAATGATATTTGTAGGTGTTAGCAAGGACTATCTTTCTTTGAACATTGAATTAAAACCAGAAAGAACTGTACTAAATAACAGAAACCACATCACTTGAAGACATGCAACAGCGGCAATAACTAAAAAGGATATCAAATGTAAATTGAAGAGAAAAAAATGTGATAATCAAGATACAGATTTTCCTTACAACTGCAAACAAAATTTTACGAAAGAATTCCACATTAATACTGAAAGTTTAAGTGAACTAAATTTCAACCGAGTGCGGTGTGCGTATTTTGCAGTTTATCTAGTGGTCTGTCAGAGTAAAAGTTTATTGACATGCAATACCGTGGGTATTTTAAGAGACTTCGATTAAATGCACATCATATTCATATCATTATTTCTTTCTGAATGTGAATGCGATATTGACAGCTGGCAAAGGAATGGCTCTGAGTGTAACATGACTTTATTGGTTCTATATCCGCTACTATTGCCAAAATTATCTTAAGCGGCATTGTATTTCACCTTTTGGATTGGTACTACGAAGAATTGTTATGCCCAGATCTTTCGTATCTGTTTGAAAGTCACATGCATTAGTGCTTACCAATCTTCGAATTTCTGTGTGAATTTTGTCGTTTTAACGTTGTGAAAAATGATTCTTGAATAAGCCTGGAAGCCCGGATCCTTATTTCTGTTAAAAGAACTGAAGCTTTTTTTTTTCATGCTTATTTAGTTTTTAAAAATAACAGTTCAAAACATTTCCTTTTTCTTTCTCTCTCCATCTTTTACTCTCCAATTCAGATAACTACAGCTAATCAGTTCCAGGTTTTTGGCGTTTATTTTCATTCATATTTTTAGTTCTTCATTTTATGAAGCATTGTTTAAAGTATTACATATTCATATTCATGCTATATCAATGACAAACGCATCGCCTAAGCAGCAGAAATGATAGCCACCTTGAGCAAGAGAGTCTGAAACAAGAGCTGACATTGCGCATCAAACTAAAACTATTCCAGGCATGTCTCCTGAAAACTAGGCTTTACGACAGCCAAACCTGGTTGGAAAACATACGCCAGGCAGGAAGACAACTGCCTACGACATATCCTCGGTATCAGATGAAGAGTTTATAACACTCTTTATTGGAGGAATCAAATCCCTGGCCTATGCAACATTGCACCGTCTTCTTCGATACCTGGATCAGGTACACTGAATGAACGACAGCCGTATAGCAAATGATATCATATAAAGGGAGCTGGCAAAGGAACAACGTCTGGTAAGCAGGCCTACACTAAGTTTCAAGGACGTTTGTGAGAGGGATCTGAAACTTACAGACATCGACTCCTGTAGCCGGAAGTGGCTAGAAGACAATCCCAACGGATAGTATGGTGCCATTTAATCAGGAATCAGGAAGGGTTGAAAAAAGCGAAACAAACTGTAGAAGATTGAAGGAAAACATAGGAACAGAGAGAGCAAACTCAGACCTTCATTCCAGATTTCAATTTCGTCATTCACCCCAACATTAGAGAATCCCATTAAAATATTGGGGCTGTTAAACCAATCCAAAAGAAAAAAAAATTTCATCAAAGAAATCGCTGCCATTATCTCGCGAGATCAATGGATGTCTATTACAATTCACATCTCTAAAATCATTGCTTTTGCAATTACAATAACACATCGCCTATTCCATTCTATAGAAACTATTACACGTAAATATCATAAAATGTGGTCTGGTTTTTGATGCTTGCATAATAAAAACTGACATTTACTTATGTCTATTAAATACGGTATATACAACTTTTTGTATGTCAGTACTTTGCAATAATTTAGAAAAGAAATCTTCCTGAAGCAAAGAGGGAAATATAAAACATTTGATAATTTTATTCGCTGTGCTGATAATCGCTGAAGAAGCCATCGATGTGTGTCTGCGTCATTATTAATGCTAAGAAGATTAGAAACCTTGAATGTTTTCTGGATGTTGGCGCGCGATATGTCGGTGTGGCAGATGAAGATTATCAGCAGAAAAGAACGGGGAGGTTGGGATAAAATATAGAACTTATAATCGGGAAAATGAAAGAAAATAACAAGGAAAGAGGAAATTATCGAAACGGTAAGAAACAAGTAGTTTTAAGAAACTGTTGTAAAGATGTATAAAGATTATGAGAAAATAGAGAAGAGTTTGGAACGATGTGAACAAGTGGGAGAATTCGCAAGACGTAAACAGAAGGAAAGCAGGCATAGAGTAAAAGGAATAAGGAGGAGAAATCGTAGGTTTTAAGAGAATAGTAGGAGTAGAGAGACGAGAAAGGATAAAAAAAAGATGGCTTCGGTGTAGGAGGTAGGAGAGAGTAAACTGCTGATCAGAAAGTGATGGTGATCCAGAAGGAGGAGAACGAGTTTAACTGACGAGAATTTTGAAGCGACAGAAAGAAATGTTAAAGGTGCAAGATAATGAAAAGGAAAACGGGTGATCGTTTAAAATAAGGACAAGTCTAGAAAAGAAGAACGGGAGAAAAAAAAATATAAGAATGTATAAAGACGAGGAAGTAATGGAAAACAGATAAAGAAGACATATTTGAACAGAATTGACAGAAATAGAATAGGAACGTTCTGTGAATATTATTGATAATGTAGTAAATCAAGAGAACCGAACTAAAATTTAATGAAGGCCGGCGACAGGATATGAATAAACGGGTAAAAATTGCTAGAAGAGTAATGAAATGAACGGAAGTGTAAGAGGAGGAAGCACAGGAGCATAAGCAAAGAAATGAATGATAAATAGCGAGTAAATAATAAAGTGAAGGTAAATAAAATATTTACAAGCTTAACTTGGAGAGATAACGAAAAAGGAGCCGAAGCAACGTACAACTGCATAAAATAAGATCAGCAAGGAGAACAGACTTTTAAAAAAAACTGTATATATGATGGCGAAAATATTCTCGAAGACTAAGACCAAAAAAATATGAAGTAGCGTTAGAAATAAGCAGTATAAAGAGAACAATAAGAATTACAAAAAAAAAAAAAAAAGCAAGGGGAAGATTTAAAAAATTGCAGAAGGTAATAGTGGCCCATCAAACACATAAGGAGTAAAAAAAAAAAAAAGAAAAATCCGGGAATTATCGTAGTACTTAAAAAAAATAAGTAGTATATTAAGGCTGACAATGAGAAAAAGAAATGGTTAAAAGGAGAGACTATAAGAAAGAACTAAGTAGAGTAAAGTGTAACGGAGAAGGAGAGAGAGAAATGAGGAGAGGAGAGCAGAAGTGAAAAAGAAAAGATTAATGAAACAGAGAACTTTATTAAAATGATTACACTGTGGATAAATAACAAACAAAACACATAAGAAAACGAAAAGAGAGGCTGTGAAATGAAGGGGAGAATAATAAAATGGGGTAAAAATAAAGAAAGTAAATGTTTGTCTGGAAAAAAAAGGAAACATTTTAAATATTATTGTTATACAGAAATAAACAAAACGTTAATTACAAAAAAAAAGAAAAAGAAAAAAGCTGCACGTATTGAATGGAAAGAGTAAAGTCGAGGTAGACGAATGAGAAAAGGCATTACAACAAGCATGAAAAGGAATGAAAATCAAGGGTGAAAACGTGGGTGATTAAAAATTTACTATCAAGGCAACAAACCAAAACCAAAATAAAAATAGATATGAAAAATATAAGAATCTAAAATATATACATAATTGTCATACATGAAATCATAACAACACTACACATCTATAAAACAGCAGCACATGTTTCAAAGTTGATTATTGCTCGCGTATAAACGGATAGATATCAAAATATTTGCCTCTATCATTGAACTCCTCTTGGAAAAAGAATTTGAAGCAATAGAAATCCCTGGATGAAATAACTGAGATAAAACCGTCACCGTACTGAACAAGTGTCAGATATTCTTTCTTTTTTTCATGTCAAAAGCAAAAACGCGCATTAATGGATACCTCGTTGAATTTTTCTTATCCCTATGCGAGGAAGGCAAAGGAAGTCGAATTTTTAAAAAAATAACGTAACGTTTGTAAATATAGCAACTAGAGTTCGTATTAAAGACATTTATTTTATTGCTCATTTCATATTCAGAAGAAAGTATAATTACAAAATTCCCTGAACTCTGACCTCTCTTTCATTAACAAACAATACTTGACAGAAATGAATAAACACTAACAGACATGAGGTAAATAATGAATTATATTCTAAATTATTCAAGAAGTTGCATCCCAGATACAATTATTCCCGTTTTAAATATTACCTTGTATAATCAAAGTTGATTTTTTTTTAATTTATAGTTCCAAACATAATTTCTATCATCGTCTACTAATATACATATTTCAAGTTAATTTCTAACAGCCCGATTTGGTTTATAGTGAATGTTTGTCTGTTTTATCTAAGACATGTTAAAACCATCTCAAAATACACAAACGTTGTTTTTCTCTTTTAAAACAGAAAAGTAATAATAAAAACTTCTAAAGACACAAAAAAGAATATTCTACAATATTTTTTCGAACTTCATCCGAAGAAAACTTTCGTTTCTTCTTGAAAATAATTTTTTCAGTATGTTTTTCATATGTGAAAAATATCCTGGAGAATAATTATAGTTCATTTATTATGTTTTACAAGAAATTTCTCTGCGGAGCAAAACAAACACAAACGAATTCAGTCATTTAACTAGATGGAATCGTAAGAGCTCCTCGAGAAAGTAAGTCAACATATTGCTTCTCTGTAGCATCACCACTAGCATTATCTGACATGACCATGGAACACATTTCACATTGAAAAGTTTGAATTATTTTTCTTTTTAAATTATTTTTCTTTTTAAATTTTTCTCTAATAAAGAAAAAGATTTTAATGAAAATTTCTCGGGAAGTAATGCGTAGGTATGTATAGCGCTGAAGTAAGGCATAACGTATTAGTTCTGTAGACAGCGAAAAACGATATCCTTGTTGGGAATGTTGCCTTTTTTTGTAATACTTTTAGAATTGAGTAGGCTTTTTCTTCCACCACGTTTTGGAAAATTTTCTAACATGTGAAGTCTTGTGAGTTTAACATTATGTTCATGTTTAAAACACTATGTTAACTGTATAGGGGTTCCATCGCACTGGGGCATGATATGAAGGTTTTGGCCAATGTGGATACATTTTTTATAGATGAAAAATGTGTATCAGGGTCAATGTCTATTCTATAAATTAGAATATGGTTTTCCTTATTTTAAATCTAAAACCGTTAGGATAACACCTTGCTTCTTCCAATTGTGTAAAATCCTTTGTTGAAATAAAATCACATAATTCATCGGTTTGGACCAGTCGTTGTTTTGGAGGCTTTCTGAATTCATTTTTATTCGGCAAATGACACCGTTTTCTTTTTTTCTGAATTTATTGTAGGTATTGGATGTAAATCCCCAATGCAGTTTTTTTTTTGTTTTCCTTTCAAAATAAGTTTCTCCTCAAAATGCTTTATACAGAGAACTGAACTTTTCGTAGGAAACCAATCAATACCATTAACTAATTTTATCCATTTTCCTACGAGGTCGAATTTTCCAAGGGAAAAAGAAATTTTTGATACTTTTTAACTGTTAGTCACATAATACAAGAACAGCCAAATGCAACAAGTTTATTAACCATTGTTATTATACAAAATATCACCACAAACTTTATCAATTAATCTTTAAATGCAATGGAGTATGAGGTAGAAAATATATATAATACCATTCATTTGTAAAACCGCCCGTAGACGCAATGGAAAAGCATGAAGCGAAGTAACTGGCAGAGTTTAAAATTCGTAGATTAGTGAAAAAAATGTGAGGGGTATAAATATGCATTTTAGTGTTGAAATCATGTCTATGGAATTTAAATAACGTCTGATAAATTCGACGTAATTGTGCGTTGTTCTAAGAATTCATTTTTATAGTTACCTCCATTTTATCTAAACAATTTTCTAATCGCCCATTCACATTCTTTTGTCTACATTATATCAGCTTGTTAGAATTCATTATCTGGCATGTATTTCCGTATAATAGTAGTTTGACATGGGTTTATGCTAATATTCTTTACTCTCCTACTTTTCGCTTGTGATAGTATTTTCTGCCTTCACGCTTTCCTGTCGAATGCAATCTTCAAAAATGTGAATGTAATAAAAATTGTCATAGACTATTAACATGAATCCTGTTTTTCAGTGACCCTTCCGGGTATTTCTCTTTCAATAACCACTTGCAACTTAATGGTTGCTATCGACTTTCTTGGTTATAATAAAAAAAAATCATTATAAAAAAGCATAACATTTAATAACTTATAATTTTCATAAGTTCCCTAGTATTATTCGAAATGTATCTCATTTTGTTTCTTGCAAAATGTTTCGGCCAATTCACTTTTGGAGCTTCTGGACCGTATGGAAGAACTCTTATATATATATATATATATATATATTTGAGCATCGACCGTATTGAAGACCTCTTCTAACTTTTACCAATATTCTATTTATACGTTTGAAAATCATTGAATTATAAGAACAATGGTAGTAAGTATATTGATCAGCTCATCTGACTTTTGACCATAACTGCACGTATATGTGCAAGTGTGATTCATTATATAAGGTGGGATATTATTTCTTGCTAAGGAAAATATCTCCACGCTGATATTCACAACGGATTCCGGATGAATTATTAGTTTAACTTATTTTTCTTCTAGATTTTTTTTTTTACTTTTTCAAAGAAAGATAAGATTTATACACATAACAAAGAAGCATATTTTACCTTTTCCATAGATCGAAAACCTAAAAAACGATCGAATGATAAAATGACAGAATCTTTTGAAATATTAATGAGAATAATACATGTGTTGCAATTTTAAGATTGAAACAAATTTACAGCGCTTCACCCACTGTCTTAATGTGTAGCTTTATCTTCAGCAAACAATTGACAAGACATGAATCAACGCATAAAATATATTCGTTATGCGGAAAAGAATTATATTCAAAATATGCGAATATGTTTAATGTTAAAATTTGCAGAGAATTCGGATCGGCAAAATCAAAAGGTGCAGGTACGTTCATGTGTTAAAAAATCAACCTAATAATAACATTTAAGCATATAGTAGTGTACATTATTAAATAAGTCCGAAAAAGATACTAGTTTTCAGAAGGAGGCATGTTTCTAAATTAGTGATTTACTTGGTCATTTTTAAATTAGTGATTTATTTGGTCATTTTTAATCGATAGTGTAATATCCGGGCATATGAATATATTCGGGGGGGGGGGTCATTGCTGGCTATTATTAACACTGATGATGATTTTGGAGAGCGGAAATTATCCTCCAGCACAGTTTATGATATAGAGAAGGACCTTGTGTAGATACAAATATCAATATATATTTACTATTAAATTCCGTATAGAAAGGGTTTAATTTTCATACTGCTGAAAAATACGCACTATTTATTGTCGGATACTCTAATACTATAGTGTGGCGTACCTTGCTTCTTTAAATTTGTCACTAGCAATTTCAAACCAAAAATATAGTATATAGTATAGTATATAGCATAGTATATATTATATTATATGTTATATAGTTATATAAAAAATATAGTATATAGTATAGTATATATTATAGTATATAACATGGTATACAGTTATATCAAAAATATAGTATGTAGTATACTGTCATATCTAGGCTGGAGTTACCAAGATGTAACTTTCTATTCATTATAGAGTCAGAAAGTGTCTACCTGGATGTGGTTGATTAATAATTTCCACCATACAGCCATGTTTTGCCGAGCTAAATCCTTTAGTTCCAATAGTCCATGAGTTCACAGCTCGGACATTCTTCGATTTCGATTAAGAAGAAGGAAGTTCTACTTGGATGGTTTCATCTTACGAACTGCTGCTTTACGGACCAGACTTCGGTGTGGATATTTCCACGACCTCTACAAACTTAAACGCTGTCCTTTCCACATATCCATATAATTTGCACGATTTACCTCTTCCTCTTAGGTTCATACAACAATCGCATAATTGATGCTCTGCTATGAACGGCTTTTGGAGTTAATAAACTTAATTTATATAAGCACTTTAGAAAACTAATGTTTAAAATTAGCTTTGAGCGATTGAAGCCTGTGGAGCTTTTCAAATAGCACACGTCTTCGAACATTGTAGATTGGCGCTATATAATCGCAAACAAAGAACTCTATTAAATAACAGAAAACACATTACATGAGTACTTTCAACAGCAACACCTGCTAAAACGGATAGAACATGTAACACTAAATGAAGATAAGGACATAGTTAAGATTCTAACATTCCACATTTCTTTAAATAAAATATTAGGAAGGAAACCCCCATCAATACAGAAGAGAATGTTAGAACCTGTTGCACTTGAGAAACCTATTTTCCTGAAAAAATGTTTATGAGAAAGGTTTTATAAATTCCAGTTAATATTAGCACTGGTTGCTCGGTCTATAATCTCGGTCTATGAATAACGAATGCTTTCTTATAGAAAAACTGCCAATAATAACGTTACCAAAGTGACTACAATGGTACCCTCGCATTTCGACGACTAAAAACCCATGGGAATTACTAATATGCCATACATTATGCTCACTGATAAGTTGAGAATAATTTGATTTTTACTGATATGTGTTATGATGCAATTTCATGCCTGTCCTTGGAAAATAAGTATTTTTCTAATGAACATTTGGTTTGAAGGTTTTATGCATAAACTTTCAGCTGCATCTGCTAAGATACCAAGTAACATACTCCACGATTTCGAGGGGTGTATCGTATATTAATACAAGTATCGTCAACTAATTGCATCACAAGCAACTATTTCGACTCTTGTAAGATTATCTAATGGTATTTTTCGATTGTGTTGTGAGGGCGTCTTTGTAATCTGTTTTATATAATTTAATTTTCAGCATTTAGAATATTCTTCTAACGTGCAGAAACCTATATCTTTAGTACGGAAAAGCTGGAAAGCAACTGCGGAAGTATGATAAGGAGGTAAAAGTGCATGCTTCCCGAAAAATTATGAAATTTGAATTTACTCACACATTGAATCTCAAATATACGTCTGTTTCAGGAACGTGGTATTTTGAAAGTTTGTTTGATAAGTAATTTTATTCTAAGTTGTATTGCATAATTATTTAATATAACAGTGTTTAATACGTTTAGTTCAGATCTTATTTATAATTAGATCAAAAATATGTTTTTCTGTGTTAAAATCATCAGATCTGTTTGTTCCGATTCAATTTGTGATTGCTAAGATTTTTATAAATGTTTTTGATATTACTTTTTCTGGATTTTCTTCTTCGTTAAATGACTTCATGTCTTCTAATTCCATATGTATAATATAAGATAATTAAAATCAAATGATTTTACAAAATCATGCGGTCCTTGTATAAATATCATATTTTTCTATGCGGAAGTCCCAAAGAAGCTTTTGATTAAAAATATATTTGATTTCTAAATTCAAAATAGAATTGTACCACTCCAGTAAGTGCTAGACATCTCTCGCCATGTTTTTTTTTCTTTAAAATAGTTTCGATTAAACCAAAAACGGTTCAATGCTGCTATGTAATGGGTTGTACTTACTTTCAAAACTTCACCGACATTTAATGACTTTAGGAGACCTTGTGGGTGATAATGTTTTCCAATATACAACCCTACTCACACGGATGAAAATTTGGTAGCCACTCGATATTCTATTGGTATGTCCATAGCAAATGTCCAGACTAGTTATGTCCCTTAGTTTCACCAGTTTATACCACCAAAACTATAAGCTGCCATATCAAATCCACAGATTCAATTCATCATTATTCCATTTGTAAATCATTAGTAAGGATGGACTTCCACTTCCCAGAATTATTACTCCTGCGAGTATGCTTCAAATCTACAGTTAAGCGTTATGGGTCATCATACATATCCCCATAATAAGCGCTTCTTACTCCCGACCTTTGCTGATATCAAGTGTAGAATTAATGATATTTGGTTAATATATCTGGTTAGACATAGCATGATCACTAATATTGAAATCATAATAAGTATATTGTATGTTACTAGATATTATTTGAGTGATTATGAAAATACATAATGTTTTATCTCTAACGAAATTTAATTTCCTTAATAGTTATTCTTGGATTCTCTGCATTCATAAGAAAAATATTTTTCGTGTCGTCTGAACCAAACTTGAAATTTTATATGGTTTTTATTTAGAGTCGCTTTTGGATTTCACTCTAGCGTATTATAATTAATTAGTTTCTTTTTCGGGGAAATTAATTTTGCAAATCTTATTTGTTGCTAGAGAATTAACAACAACATAATTATTTCATTGAATTTCATTTGCTTTAGTTTGAAATTCATGATGCTGAAATTTGGTGTTCGTTATTGAGCTTACACAGTCAACACATCATCTGAGGAAATATTTTGTTGATGCTCCGAAATCAATGCTATAATTTTCAAATGTTAATGGTATTCATAAGAATTTAACTCTATTATATACTATTATTTTCTTTTGTATGTAAGTTTGTAACAATGATGAAAGCTTAGTAACAGCTTGATATGGAATCAATTTCATTTAACGGGTGATTGCCATATGAATTGGTAACGAATTTGAGAAAAGCGAAGAAAAAGAGGACGCACAAACCCCCACACACGTACACATACACACACGCATGGACATACATATGTATTAACGCGTACTGGCACAAACATGCACACACATTTTTTTCTAAAACGTAATTTATTTTTTTACTTATTAATCCAACCAGCCTTTATCAATTTAAAAGTTAAATTTAGTAGATACGCTTATTTGAGTTGGCGTACCTTTTTATTTATTAGTATATTTATTTTCTCCTACTGGCCTGAATGTTCGAGAAAACTTATTAAGACTTGTTAAAACCATTCAAATATGGGTATGACGACAAACTACAACCGCTTCCTGGGTATGACGATAAAATCCCTCCGACAGCAATGACTCAAGCAAGGTTTCAAGGAGCGTGGGACCACGTCTTAATTGCTGGTTTTCCTGCATTCCCCTGACCCAGGATGGTAGCACCTGTCAGGGTCTTAGCTATGGGTAAATAGTTAACTCCTCAAAAGGGGTCAAAACAATATGAAAGTATGAAAAAAAGTTTCCATACCTGCAATACTTTGTTGGAAAAAAATATTGCCAGCAATACATTTTTTGAAAACAAATTATTACCTGCAATAAAAACCTTGTCGGCATTAAATAACTCATTGAGGTTGATATACCGTAAAACAAACCAACCCAACCTAACCCAAATATGCTACCATTAAATGAAAATAAAGCTTTGGTTTAGAATTTACAAAATCTTTCTAGAAATAAATGTTTCAGGATTCTCTATTCGCTTGGATTAGTTATTGTTGCTTTCATTTTTTGTTGTTGGTATCTTTTTTAACCATCTGGGTGAAACCCTGTGGTATGTAAACAATTTGATTATGGCATTTTTTTTTCTTTTGGAGGAAGTTATAATGAATTTATATGAGCTACCTTTAATAGTTGTTTATGATTTTGAAGTTCCTCTCTTGAGTTGGTTTTTGTGGTACAGGCTTCGTATCGCAAGTCCACAAGATTCGATAAAGCATTATTCTAGGACCTATACGATCATTCAATGAGCATTGATCAGTAAAATCACACACACACAAACACACACGCGCGCACAAACACACACACACACACACACACACACATATATATATATATATATATATATATATATATATATATATATATATATATATATACACAGAGAGAGAGAGAGAGATCGATTGGTAGATAGATAGCTAGATTGTGTTAGGGGACCTTACCCATAATAACATAATGGACTATTCCATACATAATAAATACTGCGCCTGAAGAGGAAGCAGAGGGTTCAACCTGAATTCTGGTGTATTGTCTGTCAGAAGTCCGTAAGGAGTCTGTCAGTCAGCAAGCGAGTCAGTCAGTCGAGTCAGAGGCAGTCCGAAACATGTCGCGTTCAGACAATTACTACAAGATATTGGAATAGTGATACTGGTCGAGACTATATTGTTCTCCCTACTAAACCTGATTGTTCGTACTAACACTTTCTACTTCTCTGTATATATTCCTGTTTGTAATAGATCTGTGTTATTCCATATCCGTGTTCGAGTTCTTCTTTATTGGTTCTACGTTGGACCATCACCGTGATACAGGGACCTGAACCATAACAGATAGATAGATAGATAGATAGATAGATAGATAGATAGATAGATATGCGTGTGTTACTGGTTTGAATTATAGCCTTCAGTAACATCTCACTGTAAATTAAAATTTATACTTTTTGTGATGACTCTTACTCCCCACGTATCCTCTACATGTTCCAGATGAATCTTAACTGATTGCATAGTGTCCCTTTTTGCATTTTTTGCCACGAGGAATTAGTATTTCTTGCAGTCCGTTTTTATCTTACCTGTTTAAAATTCACCTTAATTTTTGTTTACCTGTGCCTTCGAAATTATGTGGGAACATCGAACACTCTTGTTTTATCTTTCAAGGAATAAGCCTGGGATCATAGCTTCTGTTGCAAGAAAGTATACGTTTTAATTCTTTTTTATTTCTCTCGTTCAATCTTTAATTTAGATAAGTTACACATCATCAGTTGTTTTGTCGCAGGCTAGTTTCCGCTGTTTTTAGATCCTTATCTTTCCAAGTCACTGAACACTTTCTGCTTTTGCAGTTGCTACAATATCTCGGAGGCTCCATTCCGTAGAATTTGTTAGACACACAATAAATCTGATAAAGTAGTTTCTATTTTTACGCTTGTATAATAAAATATGACATTGTGTATGGTCTTTGTTTTATACGATTTATACAAGTCTGTGTATATCAGGATTTTCTAAAACTTTAGAAAATAAGTATCCTTGTAGCACATCGGTATTTATAACAAATATAAAACATTTGATAATTTTACTTATTGCGCTGATAACCATTGAGGGACAATTTGATGTATCTCTGGATTATTATTAAAGATATGAAGATTAGAAATGAGATCATGTAGTACACAGTCTACCAAAAAAGAGAGCTCTCTCAAAAACCAAGTTTATTTTCTGGTAGATATTTCAACGAAACAACTGAGAATGCGTTTTAGAAGATTTTTGTTTTTTAATTACTGAATACGCTTATAGATATGCATAAGATGCCTGCGAACTTCTTGATCTCAAAGTCGAATGTTGATGTGAGGAAACATCTCAAAAATGATTCTAATTCCGTTGAGACAACGTTTATATGGAATACAAAGAATCTTTAAGCTTAAGATTATATTCATTCAACAAAGGTCCTTTTAATATTCTATAAAGCTAAGTAGTGCACACCCTGCTAAGAAATCTTCAAATTAATGAAGGGTGTCCTAGCTTCTCCAGATATCAATAAAAAATATATAAAACTTTGGTCACTGAAACAATCGAAGAGAATACCTAGAAAGCTATATTCTCTTACTTTCAATATTAATATTGAAGCTCATAGAAAGTCAAGGAATGAATATTATTATAAAATCTAATAAAGTAATAATTTATTTTTATATGTAAAGTACTGATAACCAGTTATATATTTAAGTGTCCTTTGTTTTTTGTATTTACAAATAATTATATTCTTCTGTTTGAATAATAATACTTGACACATCCAAACCATGTTATCCTCAATATTATTAATAAAGAGATATAATACTGGCTAAAACTCGCAGAATCGATGTTTTATATAAATATTCACATAAGCAATGTCAACAATATCATATTTAATAATAATGTTATTCTGAATACATTGAATTGCATAATAGACACTAATATCGCTTCTACGCGTTAAATAAGTATATAACGCACATATACAAATATATATGGCAAAGAATGATGCAAAGAGAAAATGAGCTTATTGCACCTGTTTGTATATTGATAAGTTATTTTTTTCTATCTTTTCAGATTTATAAGGCAATGCCATAAAACGCTACCTGACTTTAAGCTGCCCTGAACAGACCTGCTGAAAACACATCCAACCTGACAGCTGTCAGGTCGCATGACTGCTGACCAATTACCTCCTAATTGCATTCTGTTTCATGACTTGTGATAATTCCCTTGTTAAATATTAAATAACTCATTCAGAGCTTGTCGAATTCATCAATCATTGTGAGGCATAAATACATTTCCACACGCATCGCTTGAGAGAAAAGGAGAAAAAAATACGATTTGCTAAATTAGCCATGTTTTAACTCACAGAAATTTCAATCTTCTACATGGTAAACTATATAGGATTTTAAAAAGATTTCCAATAAATAAATAAAATATTTTTGCGTTTTGTGACAAAATCATTGCGTGGGCTGACTGCATTAGAAAACGCATTAAAAACGGTGGCAGATTTAGTTCCAATGGTCAACAAATATGAATGATATTCACTTTAAATTTTCAATAATCCATAGCATTTTTAAAAGATTAATAATCCCTATAGAGGGATATAAATAATTCCTTTACGGCGAATATAAATCTTATTTAATCTTATAATAAAAGTTTTAAAAAGTGTAGTCTAAATAACTAAGATGAAGTAAATTTCATTTCTCTAAGAAAGATTTCAATGATTTCATTCTCTTTAACACCAGCTTAACTGAATATTTGTAATATTTACGCTGCTGCAATATGTTTTGTTCGGTCTTCTTTGGATAGACAACCCGTATATTGTCAATCTTTTCTTTTTATATATCAAATGGCTTCCTCCGACGTTTGACATGGTAAGATTTGAGAAGATAGAATTCGGAGATACACAAGACAAACAAGCAAAAGGCAAAAATCTATAAAGTGTTTTAAAACAGGACGGAAATTGCGATAATGAAATTTGAAGGCGCATTTGGATCGCCACATTGGAATTCCAAAATCTAAACACAGTACTAAGCAACAGGAACACTTCTTTAAAAACAAAACAAAGAAAATGTGTAGTAAACTGTTACGTGATATATGCTCTCTTATATGGCAGTGAATGCTGTAAATCCTCTTCAAAAATAAAGAAGAGACTTGAAGCAACCTAAATGTGGTTCTACAGAAGAATGCAATGTTCTGAATAAAATGGGAAAAAAATGAAACGGATTATTAACATCAGGAAGAGATAGCTGAAATTTCTAGGAAACATAATGAGGAAATAGGGCTTGGAAAATCTGATACACACAGGGCAATTTGAAGGCAAGAGGAACAGAGGGAAACAACGCATAACATACTTAGGAACATTTTTGGAGGAAGAACAAAAAAGACATAATTTCTTAAAAGCTACAAATAACAGGAAATTGTGGAGATCTATGGTCACCTACGTCCTGATGGGACACGGCACAATAAGAAGAAGGGGCAGGGGCAGGAGAAGAAGGAGGAGGAGGAGGGAAGAAGAAGCGGAGGAGGAGAAGAAGAAGAAAAGATGATGATGATGATGATGATGATGATGAAAAATGAATTCGTTCACTCATAAACTGAGAAGAAAATAGAAACAAAATATTATGTGATAAACTTGCAATATTGCTATAACTTGCAGATATCTAGATCATCTCTATAGCAGCATTTACAGAGAATAATAACTTAGGCTATTGTAAGAATTAAATTAATGTACTTGGTAAGAACTCTAGAAATGTTTTGCTTCATGACAAAATGCGTAAATTGTAGAATAATTTTGGTTCAAATGATCAACAATTATGAAACTTATTTACCCTTTTTCTCACTGGTTCAAAAACACGTAGTCTAAAAATTGAAAGTAATTAATGTTCATTACTCTACATAACGATTTCAAAATCTTTCCTCTTCTTTCCAACACTGGCTTGGTAAATTGAACGCATCATTTTTATTTTTTATATTGTTCCTACAATGTTTGTACGACCTGCTGTTGTCCTATCCGTATGGTATGAATTCTTTTTCTTCATCTCGAAGTTTCCTAAATGTCTTACAACGTTCGATATGGTGAGTTTTATGACGGTAGTGAAAGGAAAGATATTCACAGCTGCATGACTCAATTCAAGTCAGTCATAGAGTTTCGTGAGATGCTACCAAACTCTACGCGTGTCAATTCACTGACTAAAGACCACTTCAAAATTCTCAACAAACTCAACACAGCACTCAATCGACCATTGTCCGCGTGGTAATCCAATTACAATTGACTTAAAAAGTGAACGTTTTCACTACACAAACAGTAATTGTACAATTCATCAATTTAATCAAACAGTTAAAGGCTAACAACTCTTCACAATTTAAATTCTAACTAACAAGTAACACACGCATACACACTAATATTTGAACGAACACATTTGAGATTTTTCCTTGCAGAAACCAAATTATTTTAATTTCACTAACAAAACAAAGCATTAACTTTTATTGACCAAATTTCTGCATGAAAATTCTTCATAACCTTGTCTCAATTGCCACAAGCAACAAACATTCTGTTATCCTTGCATGTGTATCTATTGTATATATAAAAAATCTCTTTATTGTTAGATCTCTAACCACTGTGGGTTTAGTAATTTCTTGCAATGCAAATTGTCCTTATATTCTTTATTTGATCTACGTGTTGTGGGATAATGCATAATAAGCACGCATAATCTTTGCCTTACATAAATTACCTTCTGATACATATTCATTCAGCTACTACCCTCAACATATCTTTCTCTAACGACCAGCAAATCTGTCTTTCTCCGTGTAAGAGTTAGTCCATTCATTTTACATTACTGTAATCAGTCAATAATGTACCATGCGTGATATACGCTTAGTTGATCATGAATCTTTTGATACATGACTGACGAGGCAGATTTTTTCCCGTAGTAGGTTGCCATTTCTTTCTGCGGTAGACCAGTTACCATCCAAGGCTATAGAACCCGGTCTGTCCTGCTATTTACTCATGGAGGGTTGGAGAAGAAGAGGATTCATACCTTTCCCAAGGTTATTAGCACGTAAGTGAATATAATGGATTCGACTGGAATTCGAACTCGGCTCTCCGATTCCTCAATTCGAGCCGCTATCCATTACTCCACCTTTTCTAAAATTTATTTCTATTTGTTTCTTACTCGACTATCAGTGTCACCCGCATAAATGATTAGTGAACAAGAATAGTGTCAAACTAAATTTGAACTCCCGTTTTTTGTTCCATTTTTCGTTGTGTTAACCATTAAGTCCTCCTTACTTTCTTTATTATTTGAAACGGAATATCTTTTTAAACAATCGTCTAATCAAAGACACTCAAACAAGTATTATTGGCGATATAAAGTGTTCATGGTAGCAGGAATGTTATCCAATTCTTTATTAAAAA